GATATATGATGGAAAAGGCAGTGAAAAGCTTCTGAAAAATTGGAAATTAAAGAAGGTCAAAAACAGCTTCAGCATTTTAGGCCCATGTGCCCATAAATACAAATCTGATGTCTACTGAGTTGGAGAAGACCAAGGTTCTGTTTACCAAGACTGGGAAGATCAGAAAAGAGAAGAGTTTGGACTTGGGATTACCTTTCAGACATCCTAAATAGGAGATGCCTGTTATGAGATGATTGTCCAGACAATCATGAGGAAAGAGATTGAGAAGAAAGCTTATGATTGACAGATGATGGATGGATGGGTGGATGAATAAATATACAGCTGACAAATGAGAGATAGATAGACAGACAGATAGACAGGTAGATAGATTCAGTATATTCACACTCACCCCACAGCTAATATATAAAGCCATGAGTCTGGCTGAGATCAAACAATAATTGAGCTGACATAAGAAAAATAAATAAATGTATGAGGGCTGAGCCCTGCAGTACCTCAACATTAAAGAGTCTAAGAAATGAAAAGAACCATTACAGCAGACTGGAAAGGTGGACCTGAAATAAGAGAACCTACAACTATAAACATTCCTTTAGGTTGTTACTTATTTCTCTGTGTCCTGCTTCTTTTCTACAAAGGCTCTGAAGCAGTAAACAATAAAAAGAAATAATGACCTAATAAAATTAAAATAGAATGAAGTGAGTCACAGAGAAAGAAAGATCAAAATGCAGGAATTATGGGAACGTTGCAAATGTGTGGGGTTAGTGTTAAATTCACATTTGGTTCTCTGTTTCCTGAGCTCACAGCAAAAAGAAAACATAACCCACACCTTAGTTTACAGGACCACAATGATAAAATATCACATACTTGTTCATGAAGACAATAGAAACATGTTGTTTCAGAGTTCCCAAGGCTGGAAATGCAGGACCAAGGTACCCTATGGTTGGGTTCTTCTTGGCTGACAGATGATCACCCGCCCTCTGTCCTTACACGACCTTGTCTGTACACACCTGCCTCTCATTTCTAGCCTCCTCTGAAGCAGCACCTTATCCTTATGATCTCTTTTATATTTAATTGTCCTTTAAAGGTTCTGTCTACAAATAAACTCACATTAGAAGTTAGTGATTCCAAATGTATACTTGAGGGGATATTATTCAGTGTATAACAGTTAGTGGCAGAGGTTTCACTATTAAAAATATTCTAAAACATATTCTCAAGTGGACTCATTATTTGAAATGTCAGATCAGTCTGTTTTTTGTTTGTTTGTTTGTTTGTTTGTTTGTTTGTTTTGATGGAGTACTGTTAATGTAAAGATGAGTCTAGAGAGAAAGTTCCTGAGCTGTTCATAGGTGCTAGAGCTGGGACAACCTTGGCTGCTGCCTTCAGAAGTCCAAATGTGCTCTGTAGGAAAGAAAGGCTGCCATTTCTCAGCACTGATTACATTCTAAGGCTTGGTGATGAGCATCAAAAGAATAGTTACAAATGATCGTTACTAAGAACCAGGTCAGAGTGTGGAAAGCAATGTTGGATCACTGCTGGGAATGAGAGTAAAGATACTATGTCTAGAATAAAGTTCATGGAGCATGACTACCAATACTCAAGACATCTTGAGACAGGAGGTGATTTTCCTAATTAACGACTGAAAATAGGATTCTTTGTTGCAATGCTTGTCCTCATGCACGGTAGGCAAGGGCTCTACCACTGCAACCCAGCCCCAGCCAAGACTCAGTGACTCTGAGAAATGAACAGTAAACATTTTTTGTTTTAACCTGAAAAAAAAAAGGGTAAATTTCTAAAAGCATGAGTTTCTCCAGTTACCCACATCTGTCCCCTCGCTCTGATGAACCATAAATTGTAACCCTTAAACAGCTTGCTTGTTTCTTGGAAGAGGATCAGTATCACTGTGAAATACATTCACACTGTGGTCATATCCAGTGAACAATATGAACAACAGAGAACATGCCTCGGAGATGCTAGGAAAGCACTCACCACAGATGGCCCAGTAGCCACTTGAGTATCCATCAAACAGCTTAGCAGAATAAAACATTACATTCGCCCTACTACCTGTTATCAACTGAATCCATCAGATTCCCATGCTGAAGCTCTAATCCCTACTGTGGTGATGCTTAGAAATGAGACCTAAGGGAGGTAATTAGGCTTAGCTGAATCCGTGAGAGCAGAAGCCTTCATGGTGAGATCAGTGCCCTTATACGTGAGAGTAACAGCAAAAATCTATTCTTTCTCTGGCATGTGAAGACAAAGAAAGGAAATGGCTTTATACACACTGGGAAGAGAGCCCTCACCACAACCAGCGCTCCAATTGTATACAGGATTGTACTCCGTTTCTCGGTCTCAAGCTCTAACTCAGGTAAGAACTTCCCAATCTTCAGACTTCTTCCTTGTCTCAGCAACCTTTCTGACCTAGGCCCTTGCATTTGGAAGCTTCTGCAGCTTTTGATAGTACACACATGTCAATTGTAGTTTTCCATGAATAAGCTTTGTTTTAGTTCTCTGTCCAAGGGACTGTCGTCCCAACCCCAACCCCTTCAACCTGCACTTGACTGAAACGGGATTGGGTTTATCTTAGTTGAGAGTTTGTTTGAAAGGAGCAGTGAGACATGGGGTGAGGAAAATGTTACCGGACCCCAAGACTCCTCAACACAAAATGGACTGTGATTGTGTGGTGTTTGACAGGCTTCACCTCCTGGTGCTGAGGTGAGGCAAGCAAAGCACCTTCATGATTCAACAGACTGTTGTGGCCTACTCAGAGGGTTCAAGTTCCAACAAAGGACTAAACTGTAGAGATACATCTAACTCACTTTTTTTTTTAAGAGAAGTGTCTTCTGTCCTCAATAAATTGTGTGTAATTCCGAGTTAGTTTTTAAAGATTTGAAATTTTCTCCCCATTAATACAGGAGGAAGGGGCAAAGAGATGGTCTGGCCATTAAGATCACCCACTGCTCTTCCACAGTACCTAAGATGGGTTCTCAAAACCCAGATGAGGCAGCTAATACCTGCCTAAAATTCCAGTCCCAACAGATCTGATGCCCACCTCTGACCTCTGAGAACAAAAAGCAATTCTGCATTTTGATTAGCTAGGGTAAGACTATTTTTAATTGCCCAAAGATACTTTCACTTATTTAATTTTTAAAGTTCATTCATTTGATTTTATGTATATGAGTGTTTTCTTGTGTGTGTGTGTGGGGGGGGGTGTATGTGGTGTGTGTGTATGTGTGTACCATGTGCATGCAGTGCCCGTGAAGGCCAGAAGATGGCAGATGCCTGAAACTAACATTCAGGATGGTCGTGAGCTGCAATGCAGGAGCTGGAGATTGAGCAGCAAGTGCTCTTCACCACTGAGACATCTCTCCAGATCTAAACCATTTCTGTATATAAAGAAAATAAAACCGCACACGGTGGTATGCACCATTAACCCCAATACTCAGGAGGCAGAGGCAATCGGATCTCTGTGAGTTCAATACCAGCCTACTTTACATAGCGAGTCCCAGGACAGCCAAGCCTACCCAGAGAAACTCTGTCTCAAAAAATAAAAACAAAACAAAACAAAAACAAACAAACAAACAGAAAGAAAGAAAACAAAAGAGAAAGGAAGGAAAGAAGGGACTAGCAGTAGGTAAAAATAAAACAATAAATGCATAAATGTTGTCCACACTTGCTTTGCCAGCTGGTGAGGAAAGAAAAGGGCTGAACTGAAAAACACAGGTATCATTAAAAGAAGATGTAAATTATCTGGAACTAGCTGCCATGTGAGAGTGGACGATTGAGCCAAATTTTGTCACATCGTGTGATTTTCTATAGAGGCTGGATTTTGAATAAAAATCTTCTGACTCCTAAATATCACGCATGTAAGTTTTATAAGCAAATGTACAAGTTATGCAGAACTGTCCCAACAGGCCCATCTACAAAACAACTGAACCTAATGCTCAGGGAACATTACAGAAGAGGAGGCAGAAAGACTGTAAAAGCCAGGAGTAAGGGAATTTTCTCTGGAACTATGTCTCCTAGTGGTATCAGAAAATACACCCATAAAGTTTCACCAATGTGACTGCCCAAATGTGAGGTAAACAATAATAACAATAGACATGCCAAAGTGGCCAGAGAAAGGCCAGGAAGTAAGGGAGAAATAGTCTTCCCCAGGGAAGAGCACAGCAGTTGTTTGTCGCATACCAAATGGTCAGCCATAAAAACATACATAGAAGTAACGTTACACAGGCTAAGTAGGCTACATTTAAGAAGATATCTATTCATACATATACATACATTCATATATGTAGCAACAACTAATGAAAACTAGAAAATAGAAGGGACTAGAGGGAAAAATGGGGGTAGGAAAATGATATAATGATACTCTTGTCTCATAAATAAATATTTTTAAATTCCAAAAGTAATTAAAAATGGAAAACAATTTTGAAGGTTGTGTCTGTACCGTGTGTATTTATTTTTATTTATTATTATTATTATTGTGTGAGTATTACATGTTTTTGTGAAAGTCGAATGATAGGTCAGAAATACATTTCTAACATTTGGGCTAATAGTAGTTGAACACTCCCAACAAAAAATGAAAAGTCAGAATTGTTTTAAGCAGAACAGAATTCAATATCCAATTGTTTTTATGCTAAGTTAAAATCCAATAAATAAAACTAACTTTAAAACAAATAACAGAATTTTAACACACACAAGCTTCAATGCCAGCAGGTCATGCACAGAACAGACTGCCCCAGAACAAACCAAGAGCAGAGGCTGCTGAAATCTGGGAAATGTTGTAATCAAAGAGGCCTTTCCCAGGAAGGGGGAAAGGGCAGTGAGTGGGTAGCAAAGTTCAAGTAGGTAGAACGCCAGCCCTTTCGGTCTGACATAACTTAGATCAAGTGCAGAGTGCAGATAAAGGAATATTATGTAATTTCTGTTCTGTTAGATGTGACGAAGACATAAAACAGAAGCTTAAGGAGATTCTTCACTAAGCAACAAAATCATTAACAGTTCACCTTGATGTCATAGTGCTGCCCATAATTACACCACTTGTTTATTCCAAGTCTTCAGATGGGGCTTCTCCAGTCCTTGCAGAGCCACAACTTCATCACACAAAGCCTGCTGTGACGGGGTTGTTAAAAGAGTCTGATCAAAGCCAGACTAAACCTGAGGTGTAACAAAGAGCCACGTATTTAGTGTTGACACAGCCATTCTAGTCTGCTTACCGTGTGAGATGCTAAGCGTCTATTTGGGCAGCTTGCAAAGCCTCTCATAAGGGCCGCAGACTCTGCTGGACTGGTGTTGAAGAACCCTGGCCAGCAGTACATGGGTGGGGCTGTGAGAACCACACACCTGCACGTTGCTGATACAGCTGCCTGTTCTCAATGCATGGTTACTCAAGAGGGAAAACTCAGAGTGCAAACATTCCAAGAAAACTAGAAGAGGTTTAGAGGCTTTTGACTGCCCCTGAAAGGCTCTGGTACCCCTTGTGCTAAACTTTATTCATGGAAGTTCTGGGTCAAATCCAGGCTGCCTTCAGTAGAAAAGAAAATGGACTCCCAGTGTCTCTGTAAAGATTGTCAAAGAATTTCTCACCTGACTGACTGCATCACAGGCAAAACCTCCCAAGGGCCTTATAAACCCTGTGTAATTGCCTTCCTTATGTTAACTGGTCCTCATAGACATTCTCATATAGATATCCCTTACCCTGAAACTAAGGCTTTTAAGAGAACCATCATAGTAGTCAAGACTAGAGATATGACAAAGCATGTTTTATTTATTCATCCTTTAATTTACGTATGTCTTTACTTGTGTACAACTTTTACTGTCAGGAGATAATTTCTCACCAAGTTTGTAAAAGGAACATTATTGTTTTTTTGTTTTTTTTTTTTTTTGTTTTTTTTTTTTTTTAGTTAAACTTTAATATATAGAATGTCAGTTAATCTTTCACGAAGAATACAAAGCAGTGTTTCCTAAACTTGAAAATCAGGACAGGCAGCAGGCTCCCTCAGTACATGCTGTGCTAGTATTGTTGGTTTTATGTTACTGTTCCTGGCTGATCTCGAATTGCCTCTGTTTAATAGAAACTCATTGTCAAATTGTTCCTTTGTTCTTATTTTAAAAGGTGTTTCTGATCGCTTATGCTTTGCAGAGATGTCCTTGTTTTCTCCCAAAATGATCAAGTTGCTTTATTCTCTTTTCTCATGGCTAATAAGGCATTATCCCAAACCAGATGCTTTGTTAGAGAAATTAAGGTTAAATGCGGAAATGGAGGGTTTCTTTGAAATACACCTTACTGGTTCCTGTTCTATTCTATAAAGCCTAAGAAATGCTTTGCATCCTGTAGTAACTAGTTCTTGCTTTTCAACCCTTTGTGTTTATGGAAGTGGGGTGCTGATCTTTGCAGAATCATTCAGTGGCTGCTTCTTCAGTCCTTCCTCTATAACACTATCATATTCTCTTTGTCCCTCTATTCCTTCCTTTTTCTCCCTCCTTTTCTTCCTCCTCCTACTTTTTGTACTCTTTATCTCTCTTTACTGTTATGTATCATTGGCCTGGACTGATACTAAAGGGAAAAAAAAAAAAAAGAGGAAAATCTACAGATGAAGTTTTGTGTATCCTTTGTGGTAGGGATTCATGGAACTGAGCCTACCTAAATTAGAAGTTAGTCATTTAAATTAAAGTAAAAGAACAATTTGGAGTGAAAAGAGAAAACTGAAAACCTAGTAAGTAATCAATTAAGCAAAAAAAGACTTTTCTAATATGTGACAGACAATGAGCAAATCCAGTGACAGAAAGATGCCTGGTGACTGCCAGAGACTTGTGGAGGCACAGTGGGGACTGTTAATGGGCCATTAGTTCTTTCTTTTTTTTGGGGGGGGGGGTAAAACTAAGATACTGTTTTTCCTATCATATTTATCAGGATGCTTACCTGTTCTTCGAATGGTAATTGTCAGTCCTAATCAGTTGAACTATGCTATCATAGTGGGGTTGTAAGAAGGAATAAAGACACAAAAGCAATCCAGAGCTGAAATGCTGTTTCACCAGCACCGTACGTGGCTCATTGTAACCAGGCAGACCATCTCTCCCCTGTACTCTGCTCTCAGCCTCCCCACCACCAGGTTTCCCGTGAGCACGTAGATGATCATCATCTCCACTCTGCCTCAAAATAGGCAGGAATTTAATTTTAATCCTCAAATGAAGCAATTAAACAAAATCTTGAAAAAATAGTTATGTAAAAAAACTTACATAACTTTTTCAAAGACCTGATTTATCTTTTTGTTTAGCTTTACCTTTCATGAGATTATTCCCCGTTTTACAGTCTTTGTGAAAGCACAGCAGCTGTGATGTGAGGCTTCTAGACTCCTAAAAAAAAAAAAAAAAAAAAATAGTGCTGACAAAACACAAACTCAAAAGCACTAAAAAACACAATTTTCCCAAAATTCATAGCAACTGTCTCTTTATGCCCCTCAAGACTGTCTGGAGTCTACTCCTGGCCAATCCTTGTGGGTCAAGGAAATGCTAATAGAAATGTTTCATCCAATCATGGCCGCAAGAGAAATGGGTTTGCAAGGACAGGTTTAATATTCATGGTGCACCCTGGTGTTCCACTATTGTCTTAGTTAGGATTTCTATTGCTTTAAAGAGGCACCATGACCACAACAACTCTTATAAAAGAAACATTTAATTGGGGGCTGGCTTATAGTTCCGATATTTAGTCCATTGTCATCATGGCCACATGCAGGCAGACATAGTCCTGGAAAAGTAGCTGAGACTTCTACATCAAGATCCAAAAGAAGGAAGGAGGAGTGACACTGGGCCTTGTTTGAGCACCTGAAACCTCAAAGCCAACCCCCAGTGACATGCTTCTTCCATTAGGGTCACACCTATTCCAACAAGGCCACAGCTCCTAATAGCACTAGGCAGTATGAGCCTATGGCACCTATTTTCATTCAAATCACTACATTCCACCCCACGGTTCCCACAGGCTTGTAGCCATATCATAATACAGAAATACATTCAGCCCAACTTCAAAAATCTCCATAGTCTAACAGTCTGAGCCCAGTTTAAAAGTCCAGCATTCAAAGACTCTTCTGAGCCTCATGCAATCTCTTTAACTGTAATCCTCTGTGCAATCAAAATTGAAGAGCGGATTACACACTGCCAACATACAATGGCACAGAATATACATTACTGTCCCAAAAGGGATGAAAGGAACCAAAATAAGGAAATACTGGACCAAAACAAGACCAAAACTAGCTGGGCAAACTCCAAACAATGCATCTCCATGTCTGATAGCAAAGCGCTCTTCAGATCTCCAATTCCTTTCAGCTTTGTTGCCTGCAGCCCACTTCTTTCTCTCAGGATGGCTCCACTTCCTGGTAGCAGATCTCCTCAGCAGGTATCCCAAAGCTCTGGCATCTCCAGCATTTTGAGGTCTTCAAGACAATCCAGGCTTCGCCTCCACAGCATCACACAATGGCCTCTCCTATGCCTCCATACAGGACACCCCTGACATGTGCCTGGCCTTAGCAGCTTTCCTTAGTCACAGAGAAGGAAAAGCCCCTTCTTGCATTCTGGACTATAAATCCAAAACCATACAGCCAAAGCTTCCAACTTCTGCTGCTTTCAGGAGCTGAAACATGGTCCTCTAGTTCATTTCTATGTTCATTAGCTTTCTATCTTTGATAGTTTCCTTCATTGCCTAAGCTTGGCTGTTTTGAAACTGTAGAGTAGGCTGGCCTTGAACTCAGAGATCTGCCAGCCTCTGGGAATAAAGGTATGTACAACCATGCCTGGCCCTAAGCTTTTCTTTAATTCCTTTTTACTTTTTTTTTTTTCCATCTTTTCACAAGTTAGAAGCTTAGCTGGATGGGGTTTTGCTCTGAGGTCACCAGGCTTTCCTTTAATCTGCTTACATTTCCTGGTGCTCCTTTTCTCCTCCAACTGTACATTTTGTATTTTTCCTTACTCAGCTTGCTCCTTTTCATTATAGATCCACAGAAGACTGGCCACTAATGGCCATGCAACATAGTCAGCGCTAGGTTTTAGAATGTCATCTGCTAAAGCCGTTAATTCATAGTCATCAATTTAGCCTCAGTCAATTTTCTTTTTCTTTTTTTTTTTTTTTGGACAAGGGCAGAAAACAGTCACATTCTTCACCAAACTATCACAACAGTCCCTAGGTCTCATACTAATATTCTTCTCCCTGAAACCTCTTGAGACAGGGTCCCACAGTTCAAATCACCCTCAGCACCATGATTCTATTATTATGATCCATTACTCATTCTGCTTAAAACGTTTAGTTGTTTGTATAATCCGAATTACCAAAGTCTACATCCATCCAAACAAAAACATGGTCCAGCCTATCACAACAACACACCAATCCCTGGTACCAGCTTCTGTCCTAGTTAGGATCTCTATTGCTGTGAAGAAAGGAAAATACTTCATTGTGAGCTGCTTTACAGTTTCAGAGGTTTAGTCCATCGTCATCATGGTGGGAAGCATGGTGAGATGTGGTAATGGAAAAGAAGCTGAAAGTTCTATATCTGAATCCAAAGGAAGAAAGGAAGGAAGGAAGAGAATGGCACTGGGCCTGCCTTAAACATCTGAAACCTCAAAGCCCACCCCCAGTGACACAATTCCTCCAATAAGGCCACACCTTTCAGCAAGGCCACACATCCTGATAGTGCTAATCCCTATGAGCCTATGGTCACCTTTTTCATACAAACCACCACAACTGTTTTCAAAGTACAGGCGTAAGGGACAGGTACAGAAAAAAAAAAAAGAAATATATATATATATATATATATATATATGTGTGTGTGTGTGTGTGTGTGTGTGTGTGTGTGTGTATGTATTAAGTGCTCCTAGGCAGAGGAAAGGAAGTAACAGATGCTTAGAAGACCATCATTGCTCAGCATTATTATGATGTTCAGAAAACTTTTAGTCATAAAAGTTGGGTTATGTCAAATTATTCTATATACCATCACTACTGTGGCCTAGAAAAGAAAAGGGAAAGCTTGACCTTAGCATTTATTTTCCTTTGTAGCATAGTGGCTGTATTCTCCTTGACATGTTTCAAGGTATTAAATTTCCTCATTACCTTATGGGGTATGGCTAAAGGAATATTTCTTACTGTCAATCATTAACATCCATGATCTCTTATAGCCAGTAAGCACTTAGAGCCCTAATAGGTCCATTGCTGTCAAAGTCCAGACAAAGCTGTCTCCTTTCCCTGTCAGAACCATGAATGTTGA